TCGGGTTATGTACCAATTTGCGGTCTAAACGATCCTTCGATGCCTATGATGCCAGTGGATATCCCAGTAAAAAAGCAATACCCAACACTGACCCATTATCCCTTACACTTCGCCGAAACGATCGAGTCTCGTAATGTAGCTCAGGAGATTTTGAGAGCCAAATTGGAGCCTTCAGCAACGATTTTAACGATGTTGGATGTTGGCCTGTAGCCGACCAACTTGTTTTATGCCACAGGCGCCATGATGCTCTCCACCAGACGGACAACGTAGTTGGATGTAGGAGACATTTAAATCTCTTTGGCGATATATCCAAGAAACTCAGTTTATCGTTTACAGGAACACTTGGCGTCAACTTCATAACTGCTTCGTGAACGAGAGCTGGTCAGAGATCGTCTTTATCTTGTTGTAGCTGTCGGACAAACTGTTGAAGTAAGTTAATGCGTTGGACTTTCAGCTGGACTTGAAGGTTTGGTATCCGGATGCGATACAGAAGCGCTGATGGGGCAAGTTGGACGAAGTTGGAGTCAGAATCGTTTTTCTTGGATAAGATGAACTTGTTTAGCATCCTTTGCCAACGTTGAATGCAGTCGAGCGGAATATTGGTAAGTGCAACAGTGTTGATAGGATCAGTGTGTGAGTCAGGAGCAGTCTTCCTCTCAGCGTTCTAGCTCTTCGCCCCCAAATGCCAAATCCTCGATAAAATTTGTTGTTGAGCTCGGCTAGTATATGGTCGTTCGAAACTTAATGTAGCTTGAACGTGGTATTTTACTTCCGTCCGAGAGGAAGTCGTGTATTACACTACTGTACAAGAAAGGAGATCGCAGTGACGTAGGGAACTATCGACCTATAGCATTGATGGCAGTGGACGTTAAAATCCTGTCTAAAACGCTAACCTACCGGCTGAAAGACGTGATGCCTTCGATTATCCGAAATGATTCGTTAACGGACTCTTGGCACGCTCACCAGGAGATAACAGCTTCTTCCGGATATGCGCCGGACAATCCACGATGATCCTATCGAGGGTCCACCTGGTCCACTGGATGCGAGCTGGCTCTTCACGATCCAGGATCTCGAGCTGCTCGGCCATCGTGTACGACTTCCCATCCGGTTTCTTCTCGGACTTGTCGAACACGATCCAAGGACAGACCTTCGCCGGATACACCCAGATGACTGGCTCGTACAGGATCGTTTTTGGGGTCCATGCGTTCAGAAGTTCGGCGGCCAGCTCGGCGTACTTCTTGATGGCAGGATCATGCAGACTCTTGCGTTTCTTTTTCGCCTTCACCCCATACGACGAGTCCTCCGGATAAGTCACCCAGTGTCCCGCGTACCAGATGACCAGCGCGTTGTCCTTCATGAACTTCACGATCTTGGTCAGCACGACGTGGACCTTCACTCCCAAGGCGTAACGCTTGTGGAAGATGAGGTTGATGACACGACGCTTGTACATCCGCTCACCCGGTCGGGTCTCCATAATCGCCCGGTACTCGTCCACATTGAAGCGATCCTTGAGTGGCCCCATCCCGCCGTTGTGGTTCGGTGCGTAGTCAGGGAAACCTGCGGATTGATAGACGGCGTAAGTCGTACTGGGTGCAAAAGTGGTCAGGATGCCCTTGTGGCGCCACGAAGTGATGCCTCGACCCGGTTTCTCGATCACGGTCAGCTCTTCAGGAGTAAGATCTTTCATCTCCTTGCGAGCGAGTGGAGACTTCTTGCGTTCATCACCAGGTCGAGACTTCTTGCGTTTCTTGCCAGATCCAATGGTGGCTGAATCCGATTGAGATGACACCGAACTAGCCCTGCGCTTGGGACGACGAATCGAAGGCAGAACGAGATGCGGTGCAGCGTTGGTGTCCAGTACCTCCGTGTCATCCTGTTGTACTGCTGCCTCACGAGCTTCCATCCGGTCGATCTTGGCTTGAGCCTCCTCGCTGGGTTCCCAGTTGCCATCTCGATCCTCGTTGTCAACGTCCTCTTCGTTCTCGTCCAAGAGTAGCTCACTGTCATGTTGTGTGGGGTCCATCTGGTCGGGCCACCGATCCGGTTCGACGCCATCCTGTGCGTAGCTATCCAGTATGCTCTCCGCGCGGAGGAAGTATCGTTCTGGCACGTAGGTTGTCCAATAAGCCTTGTCCAGTTGGTTCCAGTACATCATCTGAGCCAGCATGCAGGACAGATCGTAAGGATGGAACAGGTGATGGGCCATTTCGTCACGGTTCAACAGAGTCATGGCTTCCGAGTACGTCAATCCAGTCCGCATGGCCAGCTGAAGATCCGTCCGAAGCTTGCGCCACACAACGGGAAGCCCGGCGAGTGAAGCGCATGCAAGGTTTTCATCGACTGGATATTCTTGGTCCATGGGGCGCGCATCTTCCTCGTTGGGATCCCAGGCTATGGGGCGATTCACGACCCGAGCCACCGCCTTGTGACGACGCTTGCCGCCACTGGATCGACGTTCTGACGAGGAAGTCTTACTGGGTGGAGCCTCGCCTGTCACATCCACGATAGTGACGCGCTTGCCCCGCGACCCTGTGCCGCCCTCAATCGATTCAGACCCGTCGTCGCCCTTCTCTTCCGTGTCGGTATCGCCGTCGTTTTGGAACTCGAACGGCCCGGGATCGGTGAATGCATCATCTGCAGAGGTGACTGAGATCAGAGTCTGCCATTCGGTGGGGGGGGCGTGGTACCGGATCGGTGGTGCTTGAACAACTCCTCCGGACGCTTCCAGTTGCCAGTCACCTTGGTCTGGTTCCTGTTAAGGAAGTTCATCATGCGGTCGACGTTGAAGACCTGAGACTCGAGGGACTCGACCCACGTACTGGATGTTTTGAGCTTGAACTCCAAGGCAGCGATTCGGTCTCGTAGCGCTTGTTTCTCGACCTCGTGTTCCGCCATGAGTTTCTTGAAGTCCGCCCGGTACCGTGCCGCTGTTGCCTCTTTCGTCTCTTTGAGGTCATTGAAGACAGCTCTCCATTGTCCCGGCAGCCGCGTGACGTGAGCCTCGAACTGGGAGCTCTCCTTCTGGGCGGTCAACAGCTTCTCGATCGTGGACGACCCGGTCGCCTGCATCTCCCCGCGAATGGTCCGGTACCGGATCAACAAGCGGCACATGAACGTAGTCATACTGAATGTACGTAGTGCCAAATCGCGAGGATCATAGACCGACAGGATCGACGCCATCTCGCGACGCATCTGGAGAGAGTCGAGCAGAGCCTCCAACTCGGTCGGACTGGCGGCCCGGTACGAGGTCGATAGAAAAATCGTTCACGTCCTCGGTCTCGCCCACCAGCTCGTTCAGGTCCGCTAAGTCCGTCACTGAGAAACACTCCATCGTGGTGAGCACTTCGAGACCCGCGTATCCGTCACGCATGTAGTGGTCGTCGTCGAGGTGACGCCTGTGAGCAGGAACCTTAACAAAATGGAACGCGCCATCCGGTGCGCACCGACTTGGGGCCTCCCAGTTTGCCGTCATACCCGGACTGGATGGCGGCGCAGGATCGCGTCGCGCCGGAAGCCCACTACCTGCAGGCATGTTGAGCGCCTCGACCACGGACAGGACGCGCCCTAGAATGCTGCGTTGCTTGGCTGCCAGGCGCTCTTCCATCGTGTCGCCCTCGGTCTTCAGGATGCACCAACAGTGTTCGTCGCTGATATTGTCAGACGCCTCCGACGGCGCCTTGCTGTGCGAGGGATCGTCCTTGCCGTCAGCACTGGACATCTCGACGTCACCATCAACTTGATTGACGCCGCCAGAAGACGTGCGCTCGCCGCGCGCTTCACCGGCGCCTCCGCCTGAGCCCGAGTTGGCACCCGCAGCGCCCTTTCCAGCTGGAGGGGCGTGCGGAGGTTGTGCCGGGCCCGGCAGTCCGCTGCCAGGCGTCCCCGCATTGTTGCCGACCTCTTCATGGAGGTGATGAGTCGCGCGATCGAAAATGGATTGTGACGTGAAGCCGGCTGCTCCCGGCGGTTTGATTGTGATGTGTGGAGACTTGCTACGGAGACGAGACGATGGCTGACTTGAGTTCTGGGAAAGAGCCTTTCAACGGTTTTGCGATTCGGTACCATCTTCCATCTGGAGTGGGATCCATCGTGTGTAGGTCTGTTCATGTCCTGTCACCTCGGTGGCAAGATCCTCTGTGAAAGAACCTGAGCAGAGGGGCGGTTGACACGATGTGGGAAAGGATTTTTATCCGCACCCATATCTGACCGCTGGGATGGGACGACCCTTCGCCTGACTGTGACTGGTCGCAGGGAACAGGAATCCAGTGACGTGGAGTGTGACATGTGGATAGTGGATGCGCATGGTGGATTTGGCGGGACCCGGTGCTTGCAGTAAGCATGGGCTCACAGGATCGGAGATGTGCCCACCGGATGAGCGCTCATATTCGGTGTGGAGTAACACATCCTGTCCGTCCGCCGACTTCCCTGACCGCAGGATAAGCCTAAGGCGCGCAAGTGCAGCCAGTGAACGTATCCTGGCTGCTGCCTGCATTGGCTCCGTCAAGACATCGGACCAACCCCCAAGGTCACCATGCCCACCATGCTCCCATGCGCCCAAGACCTCGCTGGACAAAGTACACTGTTTGCCGGACTGGATCGTGGTGCACCCGGTAGCGACGCACCGGATGCCAAGGTGCCGTACCGAATGAGGCCGGACCGGATGATCAATTCGGTCTGACCCCTGGTGCCCATACTGGATCGTGACCGCACCAACAACAAGTCCAGTACTGCTGTGTGTGTATCAGCAATCCAGGACCGGATCGACCAAGAACGTCAAGCGACACATGATGGCTCACGTGATTAGACGCAGAGGTCCAGTGCGGATTTGATGAGACGCCGTACCACGTACCTCTGTCGCCAGATGATGAGTGTTGCCGAAGGAACGTTGACGTCGACAAGTTGCCCGATAACCAAGCCAAGTCAAGCATATCCAAGCTCAGTGCAAGAAGATCGAAGTCCCGTGCACAAGGTCGAAGCATATCCAAGACAAGTCAAGTATAGTGAAACCTTTATTAGAAGTCAGTGAAGTGAAACAGATAGCTAGCCAAACGTAAGATCAAACAGAAACCAATTTGCCGGACGTCTTTCTTCGGGCTGGGAATTCCCCCTGACATTGACGTCTTCAAGAGCTTATACGTGGGATCCGCCTTCGTGCGATCTTAAAACGGAGGACGTTTCAAGGCCTCACTGGTGTTGCGAGCACTGTTGTAGTGGGGACTCAAAGGTACCAAGGCAAAGTCGGCAGGGACTGGGGTGTCGCGCCCTGGAGTTATCTGTGAGAGCTTTATTTCCAATTTGCGTGCTCTATCCGGGCATCCATTTCATATTCCCTAATGTGTGTCTTAGGCGGTAGAGGTAGTCACCCCCGAGACTGAATTGATTGACTACTGTGTGATAGGATTAACTTATATTTTGTATTGTTCCCTCACTCTGTGAGGGTGGTGCGCGTAAGTGAGTGTGCATCCAGGGTTGACCAGTGCCTTGGGTGACGGCTCGTAAGTTGACTGGCGTATAGACCCCCCACCCAAGGGTCTTAAAGAATAAGTGGTGGCTGTATATTTTGTGACGTTTAGCTCGGCATTGTATTTATGTGTGTTGGTTATACTGAATTGTGGATCTGACTGTGTCCCTTCGATTCGGTCTGACTTTCTGTTCATTCGGTGTAGTTTGTTTCAGGAACACACCCAGCAGACTCGATTCTGTATTTACAACAACTCACTCGGTGAAGTCCGGTCCGCCAAAGGTAAACGATACATATAGGGGTTGACACAAGGACACACGCCAAGTCCAAGCGATCCTCCCGGCCCCCGGTTCACATCCTGTGCTCCGAGGACTATCGGATTACAGCGGATATCTCTGGTACTCCGAACCGATTCGGTCCGGCATAGTGCGCTATACACCTGGACGATTAAGGCGTTCACCCGCCTCGCCTCACAATCGCCCCCTGTAACGGCCAGGTGTGTGTCCGTTACTAGCTTACACGTAGCGGTGAGGAAGCTTAGTTAAGACTCGGATTTAGTGAGACCAAGCAGTCAGTCTTGGGTAAAATCAACTCTGTTTTATGTTAGGACCAGGGCGGCTACCCCTGGTCTCATGTGAGCCACTCAAATGCAGGTCAACGCCTGATTGGCTGAAATGGGGTCTGGCTTCCCCAATTCAGCCAATCACGATGGCCTTCAGTACACGCTAGCCGTGTACTGACTTAACTACTTTATGTACTGTCAATCTACCTACTTATGTAACTGGGATCCATTACATCACCCCCCCTCTCAAAGTTGCGCTTACGTTGCGTAAGCGCAAAAGACACATTTTCGAAAGAACACCATGGACGACCGAGGCGGCGGAGGAACGGCGCTCGCGCTACTGAGTGACACAGGACGACGCAGGCGCAGCATGTGTGCACACATCGTCGGCGCACACGCCGATGCAATGCGCAGTGCCCCAAGTGGCTGCGGACATCCACGGACACCCGAAGGGACGGCGGACGTGGCAACGACGCAGCATGGGGAGCGACACCAACGCTTGACGACTAGCGCAACTGTGATGCGCACGAAGCGGAGACCCGGCGAGTGTCAAGACACAGGATGGCGATCAGCGTGGCGCGACTCTTCGAGACGACCCTTCGAAGTAACTTCCGACGAAGAGTCGCGTAACCGTCGACCCAAACCGACGTGGCAGCGAGACCAGCCTGGACACCTTCGACACCGGCGATCATCGGTGGTGCGGCGTAGTGGGCAAGCGCTCACTGAGCTGAGCTGTGACGCGTGGGTTCAAGCCCCACGCGAATCCTTCTTGCCACTTGCCACGCGCAGTCGCTCCAAGCTTGACGAGGTCGAGAGCGTCGTCGAGGGGACTCGAAGCCCAGCTAGCGCAGTGGTCGAACGCTGCGCCACCAAGGCGGAGGTC